CCTGATTCAAATACCATCATGTTTCCTTAAAGAATTGGAAAAACTGATTACAAACTTCACATGGAGAGGGGAGAAGCCCAGAATTAGCAGAGAACTCCTCAAGAAAAAGGAGACTCAGAGCTAAGGCTCCTGACTTTAGCACCTATTATACAGCCATAGTGGTCAAAACAGCATGGTATTGGAATAATGACGATACTCAGACCAATGGAAAAGAACTGAAAAGCCAGAAATAAAATAATCAGCATACAGACAACTGATTTTTTTAAATCATTTTATTGGGGGCTTGTACACCTCTTATCACAATCCATGCATCCATCCATTGTGTCAAGCACTTTTGTACATTTGTTTCCCTCATCATTCTCAAAACAATTGCTTTCTACTTGAGCACTTGGTATCAGTGCCTCATTTTTCCCCTTGCTCCCTGACCCCTCCTCCCCCATGAGCCCTTGATAATTTATAAATATATATAATTTATAATTTATAAATCGTTATTATTGTGTCATATCTTACACCATCCAAAGTCACCCAAGGAGGAGGTTATATGTAGATCCTTGTAATCTGTTCCCCCCTTTTCCCTTAACTTCCCTCTACACTCCTGGTATCACCACTCTCACCACTGGTCCAGAGAGGTTCATCTAACCTGGATTCCCTGTGTTTCCAGTTCCTATCTGTGCCAGTGTACATCCTCTGGTCCAGCAAGATTTGTAAGATAGAATGGAATCATGATAGTGGTGGTGGTGGTGGTGGGTGGGGTGGGGAATTCAAAACTAGAGGAAAATTGTGTGTTTCATCATTGCTATACTGCACCCTGATTGGCTCGTCTCCTCCCCGCGGCCCTTGTGAAGGGAATGTCCAATTTCCCACAGATGGGCTGTGGGTCCCCACTCTGCACTCCTCCTCAGTCACAATGCTATGATGCATTTTATTTATTTGTTTGTTTGTTTATACATTCATTCATTCATTCATTCATTCATTCATTCATTTATTTTGGGCCTTTGATGCCTAACACCTAATCCCTTTGACGCCTTGTGATCTCACAGGCTGGTGTGCTTCTTCCACATGGACCTTGTTATTTCTCAGCTGGATTGCCACGTATTTATCTTTAAGCCTTTAAGACTCCCGACACTATATCTTTTGCTACCCAAGCACCACCAGCTTTCTTCCCCACTTTTGCTTATGCACCCATTTTCAGACAACCAATTTTTGATAAGGGCCCCAAAAATATCAAATGGAAAACAGATGCCCTCTTCAACTAGTACTTGAACAAATGGATATCTATCTGCAGAAAAATGCAGCAAGACCCTTACATCATTCCAGCCCAAAAACTCAAGGTGGATCACAGACCTTGAGGTAAAACCCCAAACTATTAAGGCCATCAATGAGGAAATTGGAACAAACATAAGAACTTTGGCACAGGGAATACACAGACTATCGTAAATAGGTAAGGACACAAATGCAGCTGAGACACAAATTGACAAGTGGGATATACTGAAGATAAAACACCTGCGTACAGAGAAAGAATTAACCAAGAGAGTAATAAGAGAGTCCACGGACTGGGAAAATATCTTTAGCAATGACACATCAGACAATGCCTTATTACTAAAATCTTGCCCCACACAACTTACTCACCTGACCTTGCTCAGTGAGACTTTTCTTGTTTCCCCCAACGAAGTGGGACATGAAAGGACAGCAATTTGATGATATAGAAGAAGTGAAGAAAAAAATGGGGGAGTGCTGTCAACTATCCAAACAGATGAACTTGAAAAATTTTTCCAAGAATGGAATTGCAGACTTGACAAATGTATTAAGTATAATGGAGAGTACGAAGACGGTGATAAGGTTGTTTTTTTAAAAAAATTTTAATACATAGCTGGGGGAGGGGGCGTATCCCCTTGTATTTCTTTTAAAGTGGTCATAATAATACCTACTTTACCTTCCTGGACTATTGATTATTCTGAGATTTTTTTAATCTTTTTAAAGATTTTAAATTTTATCATACTTATTTTTAAAGATTGCATCAATTCATTTATTTTGCAGAACGTTAGAAATTTTCAAAATAAAGTTTTTACTCTGAGATTTAATAAGGTAATAATGCCTACTAGCCCTCAATAAATACTAGTTTATTCTTTATTGTAAAACTTAGCTACCTCTCCCTGGTTTAGTTCAGAGTCTTCCCAGCTACTACTGAAGGGCAGAGATAAAAGGAGGAATGGGGAAACTGAAGAGGAGCTGGAACAAAGGCTTTACCTATGTTGTAGGGATTTCTCTATCTGAAACTCTGGACACATCCCTAGAGACTCTGGAAGGTATGCTCTGTCCTGCATTTTCAAGAAAGGACCTTCTAACATAGAATATACACCAGAAGCAAGGGCTTAAGTGGAGAGCAAATGTTTTGAGAATGATGAGAGTAATAAATATACAAATGTGCTTGACACAATGGATGTATGTATGGATTTTGAAGAGTTGTATGAGCCCCCGATAAAATGACTAAAAAGAAAAAATGTCTTAAAAGTAAAACCTGTTAAATCCTTCTGAAATTCTTGTCAACAATTCTCTGTGTAACTCTATACTGCGATTTTAACAAATAAATAACATAGATAAAATACGAATTTCAAAAGTAAAAAAAAAGAAGAAGAAGAATTTTCACCAGAACAGCAAATACGAAATTTCTGAAGAAAACACACAGGGCAATGGCCAATAATTTGAACTATTTCATCAGATACTGAGGAAAAGACACACACACAAAATCAACACTTTCGTTCTAAATGTTCACGTATAAAGAAAGCTTTTACTTCACTTCGCTTTCAGAAGCACTCCACACATGTCAAATAAACTCTTCTAAACTTTAAAACAGTAAGAGAAATGGCCAAGGTATGTTTAGGAGCATAATGCAGGTGTGGAAGTAATTCATGTGTTCTTTTTTTTTAAAGGATGCAGCTGTTACTCTCTGCCTAGTTTGCTGCTCATTGTTGGGGCTCGTAGTGAAATAGGGTGTAGTCTTCGATGCCTCTCTATCTCCTCCCCACCCCCCAGCCCCGCCCCAAATTATTGAAAATCATGGGTTTAAAGGCTCTTGCTTTAAAAAGGAAGTTTCAGAACAAAAAATTCACTATAATCATAAGCTAATATTTACAGACTAAAAATTATGTACTAAAGTGAACACAATTCTTAAGTCATTTATTCATAATAAAAGTGCAAATAAAACAATACCAAATAACTTTTTAAATGGAAAGAAATGGGAAAAAAACTTTTAGTTACATCTTATAATAATAAAATTGAAAATGGGTCTGCAAATTGTTTGCAGCACTAGAAATTGGCATATCTTTGAGGAAGCTACATGAAAATATAAAGCAAGTAAGAGCCTGAGAATGTTTATACTTGCAGAAAGTCAAGAAACGACTTCAACAGCAATAAAAGGGGCAGCTAGACAACGACTTGTGCTAACACCCAAACAAGGAAGCATTGTAAACATCCTTGGACAGGACTCTACCACACACTCACATTACTCACTTTTCTTTTGTGGGACACACCACGTTAATCATTTGCTTCACAACTATCTCCCCACTAGACAGTAAGCTCCACGAGGATGATGTTTAATCTGTCTAGATCTCTGGCACATAATAAGCATAGAGTGTATACATTGTGGGAGACATTTGAAAATGTAATACCGAGTAAGAAATATAACAACATGTATTTAATTTACATGAAAATGGTTATATAAAAATGAAAACTGTTTTAAGGATGAAGAGATCACTGAATACCTTTGAAATTATTTTAAACAGTTTTTAAAGTTGCTGTTTTAGTGCCTCAGAAATGTAAAAAAATAGGAAACTATATTAATGTTAGACACACACCAAAATGACTTTATATGGGGATGAGAGATAACCATTTCAGAGCCTGAGAGGCCACCCCCTAATAAACTCCCAGCCATTCAAGTTTTCTTTCTTTGCTTAAGGTTAGAAAAAGCCAAAAGACAATAAGTAGCACTGTCTTATTTTTTTAAAACGCTAAGAAAAGCTATGTTTTCAAGAGAAAGAGACTAAAGCAAAACCCTCTTTTGACTAAGAAGCTTGATCACTAACAGCAGGGGGTGCCAAAGAGAACAGTATTGTTCCCAAGAGATGCCTAGGAGAAGGCTGCAGTGGAAGAACTCAGGTCAGACTAAATAATGCCTGAACACGAACAATCAGACTTGAGTACGTACACACACACACACACACACACACACACACACACTCTTCTGATATTTACCATTTCCTGGAATTACAACTGTAGGTAACATATCCTAGTAGTGTTAGTACCAGTGATTCTATCAAGAATAGAAATCATAAATGTTGTCAAAGCATCTTATAATGGTTGAATTTACATTCATCCCTGTTTTGAAAGGATGGACAACTGGAGTTATCAGTAGATCTGCCACTGGATCTTGCTATTTAATGATTTCATAACTATTTAAATGTTATAAAATTTGATTATACTGTGTTTCAAGCACTTTTCCAAAAACTGCTCTCCTAAGTTTTCTCACACTGTCAAAGGAGTCTTTGGCACAGGGGGGTTAAGGACCTTAGCTCAGTCTAAAGGAAGGAAACAGAGGAAAAATGAATTTTGATCTGAACAAAGTTGAAGAACAAAATAGTAATTTAAGTTACAAAGGAAAGGTAGCTAACATGCACATTTTGATTTGGTCTATATTCCTTTAAGGAAAAAGAAAGGAAACCCCAGAAATTTTGCTTTATAGGCTACAAAGTGCCCTAGTGTTTCTGGAGGTCTGGTTCCCGGACAGAATGCTCAGAGATCTACCTAGAACAATTTGTCACTGCAAAGCAGCCTATACTTAGGAGTATGACATATAATACAAACGTTGTTTTCAACAGCTCTCTGAAAGTCAAAATTACATGTGGACACTCCAGATACCAACTACCATTTGATGAATAATCAGATACAAAATGCTGGAAGGTTAAGGATGAAATACTGAGATAAAGAATGGAGTTGATACTTACATTCGAACAAAGAGCGACTCTTTGGATGTTAGGCCAGGAGACGAATACTTCTCAACCAGGGCCAGCGTACTAAAGCCAAATTTATGGATAGGCTCATTAGAATCCAGAGGGGGGAAATCTGTGTCCACCTCCCCATCATCCTCAGCAATATGCAGGCAGTAGGCACTGACGTTGTCACTGAAAGGAATACCAAGGCAGAGAAGGGACAAACAGAATAGAGTAAGTTATACAGCAAATGGAGGACACTGCTGCTTCTACGGTCCAAACAAGATGATACAGTTAGAACTCCCATTTTCATTTAGTAGCCTGAAAATATACCACAATGCAAAAGGGAGAAGAAACAGGGTTAAATGAAGGTCTTTATATTTTTCCATTCTTCCAATAAATATTTATGGAACAATTGTTGCAGGTAAGCCACAAAACTTAACCCCTTCAATGAAGGTGAGATAATATTTCTATTACCTTTCAAGGAAACTTACAGCACAATACAAGAAAGCAAGCAAGCACCACACTAGCTAGAATATAAATTCAAAGTAAATTCCATAACATAGATACTAACAAACTATAATGGAGGAAAAACTATGTGGAGGGAATCAGATTTGATTTGATTTAAGGTTGGGATTAAGACAATCTCTGTGCCCTAGTTCAGGACTCAAAGTAACAAGATCATCCACATAGTTCTCTGCTCTTATAGAACATCTCACTCCCATGGCAGGCTCCAATTCTATAAATCATGGGTTTTTAAAACAGTAAAGGAAAATGATCAGCTCCTGACACCTGGCCCTTTCAACGTCTGCACATATCAGACTTTCTCATACACTCCAGTTAGTACTCCATTTTAGCTTTACCCCAGGCTAGAATCAACACATGCTGTCTGTCTTCTTCCTTTATGGAGGAAAGTAAAAAGTTGATTCCCTGAAAAAGCTTGGGGAACTACACCAACATCAACACTATTTTAGACTAAAATCTAGTTACACTTTAAGATACCCTGTTCCAAATATGAATCGCAAATCTGCTGGATTGAAGCTAGCTTCAAAAGCATGAACCTAATAGTTCACAAAGCAGGATTCTAAATTCTGTAGCTTAGAGTTTTAATTACATGATTGATGCTTAAATTAATTAATTGCAAAGTGTATGTTAATTGTTTAATTGGTTGCTTGATCTATATAGATCATTTTTTGAATTAAATGAGTTGATTTACAAAGTTTATTGATTGGATGTGACAATGAATTATTTCACTGACTACCTGATTTGCAATTTTCCCAATTAATTCACAAATCTTTAGCTGCAACTGAGCTTATCGAGAGAAAGTCTACTTCAGGTGATCTATACTCAGTCTGTCATGACTTAAGAGATATGTATTATATAAAACAGGTAATAAGCACAGATTAAAATTAATGGAAACAGTAAATTTGCTAAGTGGATGGGTAACGAAAGTAATCTTGCTGTTTGTCACTATAAATTTCACATACTTGCAATGTTGTCAGGAGATTTCAAAGTCATCTATGAGTGGTATGGGAAACTTTAGGATCTTTGCAATAGGGTACCTACCAACTTAACATAAAACAATTCTAGAAACAGAAAAGAGTGTGTTAGGTAAGGAAAATATGGTATAAGAGTTTGGTGAGAAATATGGTGTAGTAAAGAGCTTTCTGGTCAGCCCTATTATTCATGGGAGATGTGACTTCAGAGAGTAAGGTTTACCTCTTTGAGTTTCAGTTCCCATTTCTGTTGTTGCTGAAGGGCGTTGTGAGTCAGTTCTAACTCACAGAAACCCGCTGTACAAGAGAGAAACCTGGCTCATTCTTGCATAATGCCCACGATTGCATACTTGAGCCCACGGTGGTAACCACTGTGTTGAGGATCTTCTTTTTCACTGATTCTTCTGCCCCTACCAGTAAGATGTTGCTATCCTTGTCTCTCATCAGCATTCCAGCTTTACTTCTTCCAAGGCGGATTTGTGTGTTCTTCTGGCAGCGATGGGATAGTCAATATTCTTCACTATCAACCGTAATTCAAAAACATTAATTGTTCTTTGGTCTTCCTTATTTATCATATAGCTTTTCCATGCATAAGAGGTGGTTGAAAATACTATGGCTTGAATCAGGTGTGCCTTTGACTTGAAAGTGACATTTTTGCTTTTCAACACTTAAAAGGGGTCTTCCATAGCAAATTTACCCAATGCATTATTTCATTGATTTGTGTGGTTAGATGAGAGTTCACAGAGCAAATTGGTTTTCCATTCCACAATTCATACATTTTGATTTGTGACATTGATCGCCATCCCCACAAAATAACAGCACACTTTCCTACCTCTTCTGTGTTTACTTGTTACATGCCTACTTCATTGCTATCCCTTCTTAACTTTTGAACTTTATACCTGAGCAAATGCTGTCCTTTGGATCTCCTATGATTGGAGTTCTAGGGTGTGTTCATGGCCCAGGTATTATTTTTCACCTTATGAACCCATTGTTTTGCCTGAAAGCTGAGCCACAGGGAAGGGGGACAGGGGCTTAGGAGGGTGGCTTAAAGTGCAAGAGCCATAGTCTAAGAGGTTCCACCAATCTCTTTCAGAGTTAAGCCTGCTTCTTTCATTATTCTGAATATTATTCTACATTCTTCTCCCACTCTCTACAGCAGTGGTTCTCAACCTTCCTAACGCCGTGACCCTTTAATTTAGTTCTTCCTGTTGCGGTGACCCCCAATCCCCAATCATGAAATTATTTTTGTTGCTACTTCATAACTGTAATTTTGTTACTGTTGTGAATCAGGCGACCCCTGTGAAAGGGTCATTCGGCCCATATTGGGGTCTCGACTCACAGGTTGAGAACTGCTGCTCTACAGAATCTCCTCTTGTGATCCCTTTGAGAGCTGCAAGTAATGGTAACCAGGCACCATCCTAGTTCTGTTCTCAGTGTTATAGAGGTTAGGAATTACATGGTCCATTAGTTCATTCCTCTCCCCACCCCCACCCCTTCACAGGTTTTAGCCCATTAGTTCTTTGGACAAATTGTTTCTTTGTGTGTTTTCTTTGTTTCTTAACCAGTAAAAGGATCGTTAGTATAGAGGGTTACAAGTTGGGCTGCTAACTACAAGTTCAGCAGTTCAAACCCCCTAGTTGTCCCAGGGAGAAAGATGAGACTTTCTGCTCCCATAAATATTTACAGCTTTGGAAACCCATAGGCAGTTCTACTTTGTCAATAGTTTTGTTGTGAGTCAGAACTGGTAACTGTGGGTTTTTTCAGTGTTTTTGGCTTTGGCATACTTGGGGAAACCAATAGTTGCACGTTAAAAGGCTGTTCAAAAAGTTTTTAAGATCCCAACTGCTGTTCCTAAATGATTCCTCCCCGGCCCCACTATCATGATCCCAATTCTAGCTTACAAATCCAGCTAGACAGAGGATGTACACTGGTACAGATAGGAACCAGAAACACAGGGAATCCAGGCGGATGATCCCTTCAGGACCAGTGGTGAGAGTGGCAATACTGGGAGGGTGGAGGAGGGTTGGTTGGAAAGGGGGAACCAATTACAAGGATCTACGTATAACCTCCCACCTGGGGGATGGACAACAGAAAAGTGGGTGAAGGAAGACGTCAGACAGTGTAAGATATGACAAAATAATAATTTGTAAATTATCAAGGGTTCATGAGGGAATGGGAGGAGGGAAGGTTAGGGGTGGAAAATGAGGAGCTGATGCCAGGGGCTTGGGTGGAGAGCAGATGTTTTGAGAATGATGAGGGCAATGAATGTACAAATGTGCTTTACACAATTGATGTAAGTATGGAATGTGATGAGTTGTATGAGCTCCTAATAAAAAAAAATAAAAAAAAGATCCCAACTGCTACTCAAAAAAACCAGACGTAGAACTTTGTCTTTGTAGAAATCAAGGGTCCCAAGTCCCCAGGGTTTCTTGTCTGCTGTTTCCATAGACATTGATTATGAATACAAGTAAAATGAAATCCTTCATAAATCTCTTTGTCATGATGCTGCTTGGTTGTCTACTTGTAAGGATTTTTGTTTTATGTTGATGTGTAATTCACCTTGAAGGCTGTAGTATTTGGTCTTCTGTCAGTAAGTTTCAAGGCCTGTGTTTTCGGCAAATGAAGTTGTACCATGTATATAAATCACGTTTTTAATGAGCCTTCCACCAATCCTGATGCCATATTCTTCCTCATATTGTATACTTTTTAAGATGATTTGCTCAGCATACATACCAAACAAGATGAAAAAATATAACCCTGATACACACTTTTCCTAATTTTGGATCATTCAGTTGTCCCTTGTTCATTCTTTTTTTTTTTTTCGCCAGTTGCCCCTTGGTTCATTCTGTTTGTTTGAAGAACTGCTTATATGTACAGGTCTGACACAAGCAAAATTAAGTGCTCTAGAATTTCCATTCTTAATATTATCCATAATGTGTTGTCTTCTACACAGTCAAATGCCTTTGCATAGGCAAAAAAACCACAGGTAAACAAATACCAGAAAACCGTTTTCTGGCATTTTCTTTTAGCAATAATATCTTTTACTACATCCTTCTGTGATTCAAACTTGAATTTCAGGCAGTTCCCTGTTGATATACTACTGACACTATTTTAAAAATTATCTTCAGAAAAAAATTACTTATATATAATATAAATACCAATGTTTGATAATTTCCATATTCTGTTGGATCACTTTTCTTTGGAATACACAATTATGGGCTTCTGGTCAACTGGATGGGTAGCTGTCTTTCCAAATTTCTTGACATGGTTGAGTGAGCACCTCCAGCACTACATCTGTTTGGGGAAACATCTCAATTTGGTATGCCATCAATTTTGCAGCCTTGTTTTTCACCAAAGCATTGGACTTCTTTCCTCAATAACACTGGTTTTTGAATTATGATTTACCTCCTAAGCTGGAAGAGCGTGGACCAAGGCATTTTTGTACAATGGTTCTGTGTATTCCTTCTATCTTTTTTAATGCTTCCCGTGTTATTCAATTCCATTTTGCCCAGAATCCTTCAATATTGCAACTCAAGGCTTGAATTTTCCCCCGTTTTTTCAGCCTCAACCAAGCTGACTGTGTCCTTCCCTTTGGGTTTTCTAATTCCAGGTCTTTGTAGGTTTCATTGTAATACTTTATTTTGCTGTCTCAAGTTGCTCTTTGAAATCTACTGTTCAGCTCTTCACTTCTATTCA